CAATTTTAATCTCATAGTTTAAGGGAAGACAGAGAGTGTATACACCGACGCCATTGTGATCGATTCTGAGCCATGTCACCAAGAGTCTCCAACCATTGGTTACGATAGTCACGCGGACCCTAACCAAGTAGTCTGCATCTCCCAACATGGCTCAGACTAGAAGTTAGTGACTTCAAGCACTGATGCCACGTTTTGGTTTGGCCGCCCCTAACTTTCTTTCAACCATTCCCAACACTAGTCAGCATTGCGCGTCGTGGTAATCGGTGTTCAGGCATACGTAACACGTGGCTCAACCATCCCAGTCGATGAAGATTCACAACTTCATCAACTGATTTACCATCGTTCCCTAATACCCTGTGTCTAACCTCACTATTACTTACCCGGTGATCCCAGCAGATGCTGGCAATATTTCTAAGGTATCTGTGACCAAATACTAGTAAATCACAAGCATTTTCTACTTTTATTGACCGCGCTTCGCAGACGTAAAGTAGAACAGAACGGATTGCTGCACAGTACACTCGTCCCTTAATTGACAGACGGATACCTCGCCTTCGCCATCGGTGACGTAAGTTGGCAAAAGCCAAACGAGCTTTTCGAATCCGTGCAGAGATTTTGTCAGACACCAACCCATTAGGGTTGACCAGACTTCCAAGATGAGCGAAGTTGTCGACGCGTTCGACTACTTCACTCCCTATCCTTATTTCAGGTGTTGACACAAGCCAGTCCTGAAGCAACAACTTGCATTTGGAGAGGGAGAAACTCATTCCGAACATTCTGGCATTGTTGCCCAGTGCTACCAAAACACTGCATTTTATCAGTGTCTTCACTAAACAGGACTATATCATCTGCGTATTCTAAGTCGATAAGTGGACCTCCTTCCAGGAGGTCAATGCCCGAAAATTCAGTCGACGAGAACGTTGTTTCCATCAGTATATCTATGATGAAATTAAACAGAAATAGAGATAGTGGGCATACGTGACGGACAGCACTTGAGGTTACGAAATCAGATGACAGTTCGTTGGTAGTGTTCAAGTAAAGAACCTTCACAAGGCTTATGTACTTCTAAGAATCGCCTTTCAACGATAGACACTGTCACCGAACCTCTCGGTCCACAGAGTCAAATTTTGCTTTTAAGTCAAGAAAGATCACCATTGTCGGACGCCGATAAGTATGCCTGTGTTCTAGAACCTGACGAATGGTGAATATGTGGTCGATGCAGCCACGACCCGGTCTGAAGCCAGCTTGATCCTCTCGTGTTTGCGGTTCATGAGTCTTAGTTAGGTGTCCGATAATTATCGAGGCTAGTGTTTTAGATACTATATTAGTTAGACTAATCCCTCTATGGTTGTCACAGGATGATTTTGACCCTCTCTTATATATTGGGACGATAAGTGATTGTGTCCAGTCAGATGGGATAACGTCTAACTCCCAGATCTTAGCTAAAATATTAGTCAACCTAATCTCTAAAATTGGACCACCATACTTAAAGACCTCTGGAGCCAATCCATCTGGATCAGCTACCCTTCCTCGTTTCAGATTAACTATAGCCTTTTGAACTTCTGCTAGAGTTGGGGGACCTACTTCAATGTTCCATTCACACTGTCTGGGAATGGAGGGTAGTTGTAGAGTAGCTGAAGGCCAACTGAACTGTTCTCTGAAATGTTCCGCCCATTGTTCTAGACGTCTGGACTGGGAGTAGATGAGAGTGTCGTCTTTTTCCGAAATAGTCTGACTTACACTTGACTTATTAATTCCAGTTTCTTTTATTAGTCTGTAGAGCCGTCTTGTGTTCCCTATAGCCGCCGCCTTTTCCATCTCTTTTGCTTTCGTTGCCCACCACTGCTCACGGTCGTTCCTTAGACTTTTGCTTAATCTAGATCTGATTTGCTTCTGCTCATCTTCGTGTTCAGAGCGTGATGGGATGAGTTTACGAGAATTCATCAGTGCAATAGACCTAGAGGAAATCCATTGGTTCTTTGTAACCCTCTGGTTTAAATCACTGATAGATGTCACTGTTGTTTCCACAGCTGTTTGCATATCTTTCCAAGCAACATCTGGGTCAGCCTCGTTTTCAGAACTTCCTAAGTGTGACCTCAGTTGTTCCTGGAACCTACTTTTGGTTTTCTCGCTACTCAATTAAGTTCTAATGGGTCTTTTTACTGTGGCTTTTTTGCGTCCAGTGAGGCGCAAGCAGATGCGTGCCCGTATTAGGGCATGGTCGGAGTCCAAGCAGGTACACCAGAATGAGCGGCAATCTCCTACCGACCTTCTCCAACGATGACTGATGGCAATATGGTCTATTTGAGTCCATCGTTGGTTTGGTGTAGGGGGTCGCCATGTTAGACGATGTCTCTCCGTATGCTTAAAATTTGTGTTTGCTAAAAATAAACGATTGTCTGAGCATAGTTGCAGCAGACGATCACCATTATCTGTTCGTTGTGTCGGAATACTGAAATACCCACCTAAATGCCTTTCTGTTTGATTTAAGCTACCTAGCTGGGCATTAAATTCACCAGCTACGAGTATTTTGTCTCAACGTTTAGCTTTCTGAAGAAGTTCAGATAGCTTTCTATAAAATTCATCTTTCACTTCATCTGAGCTGCAGTCGGTGGGAGCGTAGGCAGTGTTATAACTTGTGTCTGCAGATTAGAGGAGAGCGTATTATCGATCGGACCAAAGACGCGTAAACACGTAAGAACGGCCTGGAGTTCTGATTGGTCCCGCTTCCCTCTCTAGCCCAGCCAGTTGAGTCCAGAACGCAAGTCTCAGCCTCTGAGATATGAATCATTATATTTCAAGCATACTAAGTTTATATACCAAACAAACCGACCACAACGTACCAATAAAGTATGAAACAGCATTTGTACAAGAACTAGCCAGATGTGGCCGTGAATGGGGGAGGTAGTAATCAATATACTGGGTATAACTCAAGAATGGTAAAACGTATAATAATGGTTCATAGGTCAAAATAAAGCTCATAATAAGAGGGGCATGAATATGAACAGTTTAGTTACATAACAATTATACGATAAAAATATACTCATAATATTGGTCCATAAATGGATCCCAAAAATTACGATTCATTATTCTTATCGGGATACAACAGGCAGAAACGACAAAAAGGCAACGACGTGTGTCCCTATCCTTCCTAGTTCCTACGGAGCCGTTTAGCCGAACAGCACATAAACGACTGTTAACGGGGATCCACTCTAACAGTGCTTGTTCCGCCCTCATGCTTAGTGCTATGCCTACACCTGCCAGTCCACGAGAACTGGCAATCGGGTCACCAGATACACGGAGGGTGTATCTCGTTGGCTCTCCGTTTTGCCGAGGTGAGGTGAAGTGAATGACCACACTGGTATTCTGTATGCGTGTTTCAGAGACACAGCATACATCAATGGTACGAGATTCTAGGGTTCTAGCCAAGGAAGCCTGCTGACCGATTTGACATAGGGTGCGTACGTTGGAGGCTCCAATGTGTAGTTTGAAGCGAGGTTTCAGTAGACCTGGGACAATGTTTTGAGCACTAGAATCGTTGGCTATGGTGACATTTGAGGAGGAAGCCGAAAGAGGAAGTTTAGAGTTTAAAGTCGATGTAGGAGGAGTAATAGGAATTGAAGAGGGAGGTTGATTATGAATACAGTGGTCTTGAGTGCTGTTAGAGGTATGAGGGCGGTTATCACTTCCCGGTTGCCCACACCGTGGAAGGGTTCTTCTGGAGGTACCTGAAAAGGAAATTGGACTAGAGGTGGTCTTAGTGACCTGAGAGCGTGACCGCAGTGCCCAACGGACAACTGCTTGAGGCCAACCATTTTTGCTAGCTCCGTACTTGTTGAGACCTTATCACCGAAGACGGACATCCGTGGGGTAAGGCGGAGTGTGCATTTTTTGGATGGATCTTTTCTAACCCCACCACTCCTCATGGGAAAGCAACATCGCTGTTATGATGGTTGTCCGGAGGAAACACCTCACTGCCGTCATACCTCTGTACAGTCAGCAGTATGACTTCGCCTTCGGACCTTGAGTTTGTTGCTTTTAGTTTTACCGCTCTTCAATCGACCTGTCTGATATGGTAGGATTTTGAGGAACGGTTGTTCCAGCCAGTATAGCTCGATAGCTTCATTACGGCTGACAAGCTTGTCCATCAACATAGGGTGGCAGCAACAGTTTGATTTTTAAGAAAATTTAAAATGTGTAAATAGTGTATTTGACGGATTGTTTCCATATTCTAGAAAGACATAAATTTACACAATAAAATTCATTCTTCGTGGTCAGGTTTTCTTTCAGTGAATACTGACCACAACTCATTTCTCTAGTATTTCGGGGAAGGACGATCGGCTGAATATTGGTTAGACTCAAAATACTTGTCATGAAATGCGTGATTTTTGCTATGCTGCGCATTCAGAGCCAGTTGTAGTACTGTCTTATACGTTTCGGGTAGTCAAAGTTGCTGACTACTTTTGTTTCGCACTCAAACATATAGCTCAGAAAAGTAGACCTGAAAACCTACATTCCATTACTACGGATGGTCACGTCGCCCGCTTTAGGAAATAGAAGGGACGTTACCTTTTAGATGGACTTTATCAGTTAGCAGTCAACATATTTTTATGTAATTAATGCTTTGAGAAGTAGAGCTAATCGGGAAATCTTTCGTTTCTTAGAAAATCCTGTGAATAAAAATAAGTTATTCTGTTACAAATTCCGGATAACTAGATTTTGATTACGATAGGTTTGTTGTGTCAAAGTAGAAAAGAAACCACGTAGTTTCATAATGTATAGTGTATTCTTATTCCATCTGTACAGATTTTGTTTCGTTCAATGTTTACACATTTTAGATACTTTAGACACACTGCACTGACAAAGTACTTAACGACAAGCACAGGTACGTGATGGTGTTTAATCAGTAAAAAGTACAATCTAATAAACTGTACAGACGTTTTTTTTGAAATAGAAAACAACCTCATTATCAATTAAATGGGTAATAAGTAAAAACAAAATTTTCAGTATTTCTCTCGATTTAGTTGAATGCGTCCTCTATACCCGGGAAAAGTTGGATTGTACATGATTGATCGTTCATAAATTTGTGTTCGTAATATCTCGGCTCGTTTCTAGAACAAAATAGAAAAACTAAGTAAATCAAATAATAGAAATTGGGTTGAAATATTCTAGGATATGCTACTACTCAATGGGACCGCTAACGATGAATCCTTGATCTCCGCTGTTAAGATAACTTACACGTTCAATACTAGAATTCAAAACGGCCTTTGTTCTTTTTTATAAGTAGTCAATCAGAATAAGGGAAATAGCCAGTTATTAAATCATAAATTGCGTGGTTATGAAAGTGAAATGATCACTAACATAGGATTTACGTCACTTGATAAAAAAAATTCCAGTAGATTATACAGAATAATGGCCCAACTATTCGTTTCGCTCTGTGGTGTTGAGTACCTTCAAGGGATTTTCCAAAAGAAAACCGCTCATTAACTTCGACTTTTCAATACAAAGTAAACTATTTACAATTTTAAAAACTTAGTGTTCGTGAATGTCTATTTCAAAAGGATAATTTACATGTAGAACAATTGTCATAACTCTCGGTTTTCTTCGTATACACAAATGGGGCGTTAATTTACCTCAGAAGAATATCTACACTAGATACCTTCCCAATGTCTATTCTACAGGACTTTAACACAACTCATGTCAAGAACATGTGACTAGAACGTAAGTATATTTTAACAACAAAAACCGACAACACAATAATAATTATAAGGGTAGGAGAATATATGACCTATCGGACTATCTACTAGTCTGACTACGCAAACAACCAATCATTCTCGCCCACACATCAGCAATAGACTCATCCTATCTCGTTTCTGTTGTTCAGAATACATCTCCAAAAATCCTTGAAAAGAAGGCTCTTTAACTGTCCTACTATTTTACTTTTTCCCATCGAATTTTCGATTTCCCCGCAGTTTTCTTACATTTATTAGATCAGCAACTATTCCGATCAGTAAGCGTAAAAGATCATAATTAACGTTTTTATTAACGGAGGAGCTTGATTGTCACATTGGTTTTACATCATCCTTGAAGTCTTCGCAGCCATTGTTGAAATCCCTGATCTACTTGGGAAGTTCTTTTTAATGCGTCATCTCCATTAATATATTTTAATAATTCGCGAATTACTTAAAAGCTTCACCAAAGACCCTGAAGTTTTGGGCATTTGTTGAGCGGATCATTAATGAATGGGTTGATTGTATAACTTGAAGAAAGAAAGCAATTCAGCGAAGAAAAAATGTACAGAGGACACGATCGATATCGAACTTTATAAGCTACAACAGATATTGATCAACAATGAATATCCATTGAATATAGGTATCATTATCAAGGTTTGACTTGACGATTTCGAATAAATTGAGCATTGGGTAGATTGATGTAAATAAACTAATATATTTGTAATATCCCAAAGAGTAGAAAAATTAAATTTTCTGATGTTTCGTGACTCAGTGTGAGCCACTTCTTCAGAGAATAAACAGCCAAATCAAAATTAATTTTGACTCGGTTATTTATTTATTTATTGAATGCCATTAAGAAAAACCTGAAACCGAAACAACGTCGTGAGTGTCCATAACACTAAACGAGATTCTCCATAAATATACAATTTAAGGGAGGTAATACAACAAAATACAACAGACTTTCGAGATCTCTGAGAAAAATTTTCTATTCGACTGAACTTTGTATTATCTTTTCTAGTCGGCCTACGATTCGAATTTGTTGAAGGATAAGCTCACACTTTGGGCCAAATCAGTGTGCATTTATCAGTCTACTTGTCAACGTGGAGCAGGTTATGTTGGCCACAAAAAACGAGCTTCTTCGAAACGCATCTCCAAACGTCATCCTGTCTGGTTTTCTAAATGATTGCAGAAGTCATTTAGAAGCTCAATTTCGGAACATCTAGCTAGTTTTGCCCACTCCCCTTTACCAAAAGCTTTCAAAATCATGTAGTCAGAAAAGTCGGCTCAATAGGAACGCAAATGAAAAACTTACGTAGAGCAGAGGTTAGTGCTAAGCCTAACCTTTGCATACAAAAACAGTATATTCAGTCCCTCACACTTCTATGGTTATAATCGGCCTTTCTATCTTTCATAATCGATCGTTTTTTATCCCATTATTTTTACTCCTAATTATTTTCACAACTATTAATCAGTAATTATTACAACTCTCAATTATGTTGTTTTTAATAGTCATCACGTGGACAGTTATCTTCACCTTACGTAACTTCCTCTCAATATCTGATTTTAATTGGTGACAAGACACCATTTAAAGTTTTTAAATATTCCATTTGAATATAGACTACTATTTTAGCAAATAAAATTAACTTTAAGCACGATCGTACAGCTTAAGTAAACGAAATCGTCGAAAAACGTTTTCGCTGAACGGCCTTCCTTCTTCTTCAATGATCGTATAACTGTTACGCCTAGTACTTGGACGCTAGAAAGTGACCTAACTGCCTCGTTTCCTGAGAATTCTCGTACACTTGAACCCCGAATAAAGGACAAGAAGCAAGAAACATACTAAATTTAGTAACAAGGTGTGTAATTATTATCTGTTGTTTTTCTGGAAATGTCTGTCCAATTTCCGCTTACTGAAGTTTTTAGCCTATTCCTTAGCTTTTCAAGACTTTTGAGGGCTCTTAACAAAAGCATATATATTTCTAACATTTTTGGCAATTACATTTTAGTGAAGTTATGAGCTAAATAGAATAATGGAAAAAAAGGTATAAGATCAAAACAAATGAATATCAGAATATTTATTTTATGAGGATTGACTTGTCTCAATCAGCAAACCTTCGGAGACAACGATGGCCGAACACAGTCGTCTAACATCATCGGCTCACAGTTGCCAATTGTCGCGAGGATAGAGTCGAGGTGCTCTTACCAATGCATTGTAAACGCAATCTTTTGAAGTCAGACTAACATCACGAAGGCGTCAAAGATGGCATACGCCGCTCTGGCTTTGACTAATGTACACTGATCTCATTTAACTCACTACCAACACACACAAATAACCTGATAGACGCGCTTCTTTACTTCTAACGGTCCACTTCAAAGAGTGAGTGCTGGTATGCACTCATGACAATCTTATAAAAGTACTTTGCAACTAGGTCCAATTTGCCATCCTAAAGGAAACAGATCGACAACTAATTAAGTGCCACTTTTATAGTTAGTGTACGATTGAACAGGACTGCAGTTTCATCCGCATACTCAAGATCGATAAAATCTACACCGATATTACCTAAATCCATCAGAGCTGTTTTTAGAACGTTATCGATGATACAGGTGGAGAGCAATGGTGGAATCAGATAACCCCACCTCATGAATGGAATAATGGACAGAGTTGGTTGCATACCTTCATTCTGCATAAGGTGTTTGTGTACAGAACCTTCAAGATATTAGCAAATTCTGCAGAAACACCCTACTTCAAAATAATACTAGACAAAGTTCATTCCAACGAACTGAAGGCGTCTCTGACATCAAGAATAACAACTATTGTTAACATGCAATGAATGTGGCGGTGCTCTTAAATTTGACAGAGTGAAAATACGATCGATATACACATGGACCTGAGCCTATCGCGATAAACCTAGGCCATAAAGATGAATTCATCGTTTTATATGAAAACAGTGCCACATACGTATCATATTGAAGAATAACTCGTTTTATATAAAACAGTTAAATGGGATATCGAGTTCTGATTAAATATTTACTAATAACTTTTAGTTTTAATCAGGACAGTGATAAATGAAAGACTTCAGTTACTTGACTGTTTCCAGAGGTTTTATGATGATGTACTGAACTGCTGAGAAAATAACCTCTAGAACAAGATATCTCAACTTGACTGTGTTAGAAAGTATAAATAATTTGTATCAAGTGACGGAAATTTATCTCAAGAGATGATAACTAAGAAGTGAACGGTTCAGAAAATTTTTATCAGACTTTTATTACAAACATGTGCTGAAAATTTCATATTGTACTAAACATTTAATGTTGAATAAACTGATCATAATTATTAAGGCTCTGGATAGTCTGACTGGAATTCTGCCGTAACCCCATAGGTCCATTCATTTTTAATCGTGCTAGAAATCTTCAACATATCTTTCAATTATGTCCCGTATGTTTGTCATACTATCCTTTTCTACTTTACATGGATTGTTTTTTACTGTGCTATCTATCATGAACTGTGTGTATATATGAGGATTGAATTGAGGCATTTTTTAGAGCAGACATTCTTCTGCCACGTTACTACTATAGTATACTTGATATACAATAGTCTACATTAGACGATTAATAATCTTTACAGCAATGCATGAAATTAATTTTTATATTATTACGGTAAGATTACAAAAGAACTTACACGTAATAAGTTATTTCGTAGAAACTCTTCACGTTTATTTAATAATTGTTGAAATTGTGAGTTTTGTCCTACTTCATCTTCAACAGATTCAGGAGACGAATTAACTAGCGGTGGTAAACCAGATTGTGAACAGATCTTATTAGAATCTTTTTCTCCACATATCTCTAATTGATTATCAGCTTTGGCTGGTGTTGTTCGAATATTATTATTATTATTATGTGATGCATTGGATAAGGCAACATTGACATTAGCTTCTGCTTCGGCTAAAGCTTTTTCTGCTTTTGAAATACGATCAAGACGTCTAGTAGCCACGATTAAATCATGACGAGCCTAAGAAAATATACATAAATCGAACAATAAATAAAAAATGTAACAATACACCTACATTCACTACTTATACTTTTAAACACTATTTTAAAACTTTGAAAGACAATATTCAAATAGTTTAGTGTAGCCGGATAAGTGTAAACTGTATAGAGGCTTCTTTTCTAAAATTTCATATGAAGTTAGCTTTTATTGTGAACTGATTTCAGTTGAAACCCATTTAAATCGCGTAGGGAAGACTGTTGGAAAAAGATTAGATATGATCGGATGGAAAAAAAATAGTTTATCAGTTAGTTAAGTCATATTATCACTGGTCTGAAAGAAAAATAGCCATAATAGTGTAGATGAACAAATCCAATTGATGTCACCATCTTGAAACATTAAATTTATTGGGATGATAATGTTTTAAAATTCCATTTCAGTGTCTTTCACACCGGGCATTGATTGGTGACACTGGGACAATATAGAAAAAGCTAAGAGGTGTTCAATTTATAAAATAGTACCGTAGTATAAAACAAAGCTGTTTAGGACTGGGTAACTGTTGGTCTGTTGCGATACCATGCCTGGGTTCCTAGAGATGGTACAACTTAGTAGACTGAGGTGCTAAAAGATATGACTCATAACAGAAGACAGTGGTAACTATGGTGTAGTTTTTTTTTACATTTTCCATTAAAAAATGAATGAAAGTGCTTTAACTTAAAGGAATCTTTCTCGGTTGTATTTTTAATTGGACAATATCTCCTATTGTAAACTTCATTACCTTTTACCTCATAATGTTATCCTCATTGTTTGTGTGGTGCATATTTTTTTGGCACTTAAATGTACTAGGTTTCGTATGTATGATATAAATAGATAGATGAAAATCTAATTAATCTTCCTCCTAAATTTTAAGATTTTACATCACTTTATACTTCTAGTTATCCTACTTGATTAAGTTAAACTCTTACCTACTATTAAATAAATTATTACTTCAAATGTTTTTGATTTTCCTTTTTTTCTTCATTTCTTGTTGTACTAACCAACGTGAAGTATGACAACTTAGACTAATGATGTCCATTTCCTATGCTAGATTCTATTATAACACCGTTGTTAAACTGCACGAATTGTGGTGAATATCACTTAATCATCATTTGATTTAATTGAGAAAAGTAGTATCGGTTTCGTTCTATTTGGTACTCGATAGATGGATCTATTTACATACCAGCGTTAATGTTCACAATGGTTTTCTGTCCAGATGATCATTAACTTGTCCAATGGTTATAAAAGTATTATTAAAGGTTTGTAATTTCTCAATGTTAATAATCATGATTATAATTAATATCACAGGTCAAAACGCGCGTTTTCAATCATCTTACTGCTAGTAACATGCCAAATATACTATTCGTTCTGTTGTCTATTAGTGTTCGGCCATAAAAGTAAACATTTTGACAAGTAGATCAATATATATATATATATATATATATATATATATATATATATATATATATATATATATATATATATATATATATATATATATATATATATATATATATATATAATTAACAAGATACTCGAGTATGAGCCATACTGTAAGTGTGAGGATTACTGATAGTACTCAGTTGCTCGGACCGAAGTAGGCGGAACGGGGGTTCGAACCTCGGGCTTAATGCCAGAAGGACATAGTGCCCAAGCACTGAAACAATATATATATATATATATATATATATATATATATATATATATATATATATATATATATATATTCAGTTACTTACCTGTATTTTTGCTAGTAAAAACGTCATTAATCGTATACCCTCCACTTTACGTATAGCCACTATACGACGGTATTCTTCAAGGGATATTTTCTTTTTAAGTAATTCTTCTTTAATTGTTTTACACCTATCTATTGCCTATGACAAATAAAATAATGATAGTATCAATTGTGTTTTGGAAAATTTATTTTCAACAATTTTCATGAATAAAAATTCATTCATTGGTATAAACGATTAACTTAGTGGTATGTTCTTTATTGAATAAATAAATAACCAGATTTGATTAGTTATTCTCTGAAGAAGTGACTTACATTGAGTCACGAAACGTCAGAAAAATTAATTTTTCTACTTGTTGGGATATTGCAAATATATTAATTAATTTATAACAATCTACCGAATGCTCAATTTATTCAATATTATCAAGTCAAACCTTGATAATGATACCTACAAAATCCTTATTGAAGTTTGAAATGATTAGTGAATATTTGTATCGTGCCTCATGAAATGAATTTCAATATTGTTGTCTTTTTCTAGTTTTAAGTGGGATTATTTACTTGTGAATCTTTGATCCTCATTACTAAACTTGACTATTATAATAAAACTGTATAAAGAGAAAGTCGTTGTAGAATTTCTTCACAAAACAACAGCTGTAGATATGCAGGTCTTGATCAATGTTGTCTAACGCCAGTTTATGACACACTCACATACAATCCCACTCTTATTGGTACAATCAGTTGTTAACCAATTATGGATGAACTGTAGTGGCCTGTTTCCTCTTTCAAGTTTCACTTCATATCCATAATGAATAAAGCCACATATTATTTTGTGGGCAATCATTGTATATGATGCGAAGTTTTATAAAGCTATCACTTAGTAACTTTGATGTAACGAAAGTAAACAGGCACATACATTCGGTGTTGTTTACTTTTCTCAACTACATAATTTAATCATGAAGTATTTATTGTCGTTCCTTCTACATAACATGATTATTAGTCTAGACTACAAAAACAAACGATCTATGATAAAATCCTTGTACAACTGACTAACGGCTTGTTTTATCCAAATGGAATTTGATTAGCTATTACTAACAGTTCTGTTGTCATTGTGTATACATTCATCATACGTTTGTAAGCAGTGACAATATATAATTATTGACAATAACCAATCCAATCCTAGGTCTGCGGAATAAACCATAATAGTCAATTGTTGGTGATGCTACCTGGAATGACAATGAAGACCTTATTATTAAATTATTTATTTTTCGAAAAGAAAGGTAACATTACCAAAATCTTTTTCATTGTTTAAAAACTTAGTCGAGCCACACAACTGGCACGATATTGTAATTATTTTATTACAACAGTAATGTGTTTAAACACTACACTAACTACATCATTGAAAATTGGGAAAAAACAGAAAACATGGAGAAAGAGAAACACCTAAAAAACTTAACAATGACTTACAATTTGTCGTTTACTTTCTTCTCGTGCAGCACGTTTTGCTATACGCTCAGCCTCAGCGGCTAATGCTTCTGCTTCACGTCGTTCTACGGCTTTACGCTCTGAATCTTCTAAAAGACGTAGACGTTCACGCGCTGCTTCAGCTATAGTTCTTGCTTCAACACGTCTACGTTCAGCAACTATGAGTAGTTGATTTCGTTTGTTTTGTCTTGCATGAATAGAATCTGGTGATAAGTGTTTAGTTCGATCAAAATCAATCTAATTCAATAAAGAGGAAATGTAAATAGCACTTTGAATTGAGATTTCATTACTAAATCACATTTTAGCGTTACACAGGAAACAGACTTACTTAATAGACTATACCATTTACTGGACAGATGTTTGTTATTTGCTTTAATCTATATTGTTTGTGTGCGTGAGCTAACGGTACTTACTATTTGGCTGTTAGGATCGAAGTAGGTAAAGGTTGCATCGGAACCTGAGACCGGCTGATTGAAAGGCAAATGCCTTTGTGTCATTAATTCATCATTTCACAAACATATTTTAGGTATAATATTTCGATTATAATAATCTCTGAGCCATAAATGTCACCATAGAATCTTACTTAAATTCTGAAAAAATGAGATCTTTTACAATATATAACTAATACCAAAGAAAGTAACTGATGGAGTTAATTGGAAAATAATCAGAAATCTATCTCATAGCTTTAGAAAATTGACAAAGTGAGATTTTAGACTCTGATCTGACACTAACAGCTTTTGTTTTATATTAACTTGTGAAAATTTAATGACATAGGCAGGCTTCCTTTACTTCCGGTCATGCAGTATGAAAAGCAAAGGTCGATCATGGAGGTTTATAAAGAAAAATCGATTTAAAAAACCAGCACAACAAAGGAGAGTACTTAAACACAAAAGCAGACGAAATGATACAGGCATATATATATATATATATATATATATATATATATATACATGAACAAACAAAAGAACTTTTCAAGTGTTCGGTTTCAAATTTTTTTATAGGTAGAATAAAAGCACAAGATAATTACTCATTCATTTCTTCTTGATTCCAAAATCATTGAAATAAATAATCGAACTTGTTAATGAATATATTTGTAAAAAAAACAGTAAGATTTTTATATTTAATTATTATATTTGTTTTAAAGTGACCATAATTGTTTATAAAATACTTCTCAATAAATGGATAATAAATGAATTTATAGTAAATAAAACAGAAACTATGACATGATAAAATACTTAATTTCTTTATAAAAAGTTATATATATATATATATCAACAGGCTGGATTCAGTAAGGATTGGTCGTGCACAAACCAAATCGCGACACCACGGATCATCGTCGAACAATCCGTTGAGTGGAACTCGTCACTATACATCAACTTCATTAACTATGAGGCGTTCGACAGTGTACATAAGAGAACATTATGGAGTTCCTGAGAAGATTGTCAACATTATTCAGAACTCATACGACGGACTACAGTGCAAGGTCGTGCATGGAGGACAGCTGACAGATGGATTCCAAGTAAGGACCGGAGTCAGACAAGGCTGTTTACTCTCTCCCTTTCTCTTTCTTCTGGTAGTCGACTGGATTATGAAGACCTCGACATCTGAGGGAAAACAAGGCATATAATGGACAGCTCAGAACCAGTTAGACGATTTGGACTTCGCAGATGACCTAGCCCTCCTATCTCATACACACGAACAAATGCAGATAGAGACAGCCAGTGTAGCAGCAGTCTCTGTATCAGTAGGCCTCAACATACACAAGGGGAAAACCAAGGTCCTCAAATACAACACGGAGAACAGCAATCCAATCACTCTTGATGGCGAAACTCTGGAAGATGTAGAATCCTTCATATACCTGGAAAGCATCATCGATGAACAAGGAGGATCAGATGCAGACGTAAAGGTGACGATTGGCAAAGCAAGGGCCATATTCCTACAGTTGAAGAAAATATGGAACTTAAGACAACTTTCAACCAATATCAAAGTGAGAATCTTCAATACGAACGTCAAAACAGTCAATTCTATTGTACGGAGCTGAAACTTGGAGGACTACTACAACCATCATCGAGAAGGTACAATTATTTATAAATAGTTGTCTACGCAAGATACTCAACATCCATTGACCGGATACCATCAGCAACAGCCTTCTCTGGGAGAGAACAAACCAACTTCCATCTGAAGAGGAAATTAGGAAAAGACGATGGAAATGGATAGGACATACATTACGCAAATCAACAAACTGCATCATGAGGCAAGTCCTAACTTGTAATCCTGAAGGGGAGTGGAAAAGAGGAAGGCCAAAGAACATATTGCATCGGGAAATAGAGGCCGATATGGAAAGGATGAATAACAACTGGAAAGAGCTGGAAAAGATTTCCCGGGACAGGGTTGGATGGCGAGTTCTGGTGGGTGGCCGATGCTCCTCAACGAGGAGTAACAAGCGTAAGTAATATATATATATATATATATATATATATATATATATATATTCAGTGGATCAGTCATAAACGCAACTTATTACTTCGTGCAAATGTATAACTGCTCAGTAAGTCGTCACACTTCACATTAACACCGACAAAGAGAAATAAATACAAAATGAAGAATCAAGGAAGCGAATTTATCAATAATAATATCGACAAAAATGTGAAGCTGTATTGAAACTCAACATTCAGATGAAAGTAAAAAATGAGTAGTAAACTTGTGCAATTGGAACCAATTATATTCTGCAATCACATATGACAACTTACTATCTCAAGGACAAGTTTACTAAGTAGTAGTTTGCTCCATTTTATTTTATGGTTATGAACAGTCTTTAAAATCAGAGGACATTCATAGATTACTAATATGCGTCCATTCTAATGTTTTCAGTCGAATCTGTTTCCAAGATATGAAGGTGATACAATGACCCAATCATAATTTACCGAGTGGCAAGGCCATGTTGTGCCAATCGAAAATCTCCTAATGACAAGGGCATATTATTATGCAAGAAATGGTTTCATTTTCCAAGGAGTATATGAGTCCTTCACTATTAGTTTTCTTACTCAATAGTTAGTTGAAGGCATTGTTATAGGAAGCTTATGTATCAGTATCAGACTCGGACACGGTGCGTCACAACCGGTGATGGCAGATATCAAAAGAGCGAAATTTAGTGTGAAAACCGATCAGTATGATATTGCAAATACGTACCCAAATAATAGGTTATTTATTAACTGATGTTAAATACCATTCAGTCAAATCATACAAATTTGAATGTTAATCTGACTACATAAATCATACAAAGAGTAGTGTATACATATAACATTTTGAAAGTTAAATAAATCCTTACCACGTCCTTGGTTTTCACTACGCGTCGTCGGACCTGGGGTATCAGTATCGAAAACAACAAAAACTAAGCACCCAGCAGATATAATAGTGCCAGACATAACAGTTACTAGTATTCGGTCATAGGAGACTCTGAAGTATTGCTTGTGTGTGTTGGGACCACTAAGTGAGTAATCCCAAAGTTAGACACAAGATACTAGGTAAAGATGGGAAATCTATTGATGATGTAGTGAATCTTCATCGACTAAGGTGGTTGGGGCATGTGTTACGTGTGCCCGACCACTGCCTAGCTCGACAGGCGATGTTGTCTAGCGTAGGAGTAGACTGGGAGACAGCTATTGGAGGTTAAACTAGGGCATAATATCAACTTATGAACTTACTAGCTCTTGGACTGAGCTTTGTAAGTAGATGGAGACCACGTGGTTAAGGTCCGTACAATTATAGTAACCAGTAGTTGGATACGTTGGATGAAGTGGTTTGGAATCGGTCGCAGTGACGCAGATGCATTTAGTCTTTGTCGTCCGTTAGATTTTGAGTCTCAAAATTTTCTTACATTGTTTTTCTTTTGTTACTTATTCTTTACTGTTAATACTGATATTGTCACTACTTCTAATACTGTGGGATTTGTCTCCATAAATTTATCTGTGATAGTACGGTGTGAAACTTGTATTGGTGAACACATATACTAGGTTTTATGTTGCATAGGACTGAGATGACTGACTAACTGAGCTTTGAAGACTTTAACAATCAATGACTTCACGAACCGATGCCATTGTCTTGGCCTATAAATTTATGATGATAATAATAATAATAATCCTTAGGATAAATAGTAACAATAAAGCTTATTTAATTAAAACAGATGGAAAATAATGTGATAGCTGAAAATCCAAAACGATTATCTTGAAAATAACACAAAGTACTAAGATATGAATCAAATAACAATAAGAGGAATTTCATTTTTCAACAGAATATTAAAATGTGAAAGTTAGAAGAAACGATAATAATAATAATAATAATAATATAATAATAATAATAACAATACATTCTGTTGTATTATTCTGATAAACAATTTGTTTTTTTTTAATACAAAATGAATGTTTAATTGTCACATGTTAATTAATTTTATTTAAATAAAAAAAACCTACTGTGTTGTATAGCTTGTTTATTTTGTTTGTTTGTTTTTAAATTATCTAATACGTATACACATCTTTTGAATTTTGTTAAATAATGTTTGCATAACAAGATTTGTAGAGATTGCAGAATTTTTATATTTTTAAATCACGAATTAATCTTAGTTAGACCACCATAGAAAACCTGAAAGCACTGGATAACTGTTTCATCTTACTATAGGTAACTCCATAAGACAGTGTTTTCAATCAGAAATCCAGGATAAATCATTTATCTAATGTTCATTATGTTTTTATCACCTATTTTTTAATTGACAATAGTTCACAGTAAAATCAACTTCCAATACACGAATAATATACAAACATACAAATAACTCATAAAAACATAGTATAGTACACAACATAAACCACCACAGCAAAGAGGACATCGATAGGTAAGAGAAAAACGTTTCGAGTTTATTAAAATAATAATAATACACAATTTTTTTTTTCGAAAATATAAATAGTAGGGTGTTTTCATCTGTCCAAGAAGTTTCATTGATTTTTGTTTGAATCAATATCACTTTTAACCAACCATATAAACTAAAATGCCTTCCAAAAATACCCGTAATAATAGTTATTATTATTACTATCTAATAAACCTTATTATCGAGACTTGTAGAATTCTAAAGTTTACCATAGAAACGAGGTTTATATTTATGTTTATATATACATGAGCATTTATTATTGTGTATGGAAGTAACTTTTTATCTGTCTCCTTTTATTCCGAAGAGAACAATTTTGTTATACAATATATTTTTATTCAACTTAAAAAATTGATCGGGCCAAGGAACAAATAATAATAATAATAATAACAATAATAATAATAATAATAATTCTTAGCGAGTCTATTAAGTTTTGTTTTAAATGAACAGACACACACTTATTATTTTTATCTATTTGAGGATTTATAACAAATTTGACTATTAATTGTTATAATCTGTTTGATCTACCTTGATATTTTCAACAACAATAAAGTGCAGTGAAAAAATAAACTTTTTTAAATGTTATTTTTTTAAGATATTATACTGGCAAGGTTTGATTTGATAATTAAAAAAAAATTGAACATTCAATGGATTGTTTATAATAACAATTTTAAAAAAAATACGACATTTGTAACATCTCAATGAGTGTTATTTAGAATTATGTTAATTTTAATTGATTACTTTATTTTTTTTTTTTTTGAAGAAGAAGAAGAAGCAACTTAGTCATTTAAGCCGTGAAACACCGGAAACTCACTTTTATACGCATTTTTGTTAATCCATTTATCAGACACAAGTTTATGTATTTCGCTTTGAGTCAGACTCCAATCATAAGGACCAGTGATGCTATGCGGTTGAGTAGACCGATATGGATAAGGAAGGGTTCGAACTCGTGACTTAGTGGCTGAAAGTCAAACTTCTTGGTCAGTCACAAATCCACCTTCTACTTATTGAGTTATTATAAATATATTATTACATTATTTTGAAACTGTTACTCTGAGAACGAAAATGAAGAAATCTGAACGCCTGAAATTGTCACCCTTTTAAGAGTTGATTTTATTTTAGACTACACTGAATTCCCCCAAAGATATCCACAAATTTTTTCCAGCAAATAAACTCTTTTTTGTCTGTTCAGTCGTATCATTGGTTAATAGAGTATCAAATAATTCAAGTGATGCAATGAAGAATGAGTGACCTACAAACTTATATCCTCCAATCGTCCGTGACATTATAGAATATAATGTGTTAAAATTCTGAATATAAGCATGTGACTTCATGACATAAAAAATTTATTCGTTTGACTAGTAATTTTATTTTTTATTTTAAATTATCCAAAGGTATATGTCAATAATTTTTCTGAACAGCTATCATTCGTAGATCATCGCTGAGTAAAGGTTCTTATCACTTACTTTGACAGTTGAAAATCCGTTCATTAAACCAATAAAATTTTGACCTACAAAACCAAGTTAGTATAAATCTGTATTGTGAGTCACTTATGATGTTTAACCAAGTTACAGTAGAATCGAGTGTATTAGTTATAAACAATACATAGTATCTTCCCGGAAATTTCAATCTTACATACATATTTGAGAGTGACAATTTACTACTGAAATACCTACTCATTATTTCTATATAACAACATTTTGTGTTTTATAAACTTTATTATGTTTCGTATTTGATACTGTCAAACAATTACTAGGCAAGTTATCACTTAAAATTTTAAGTTTATTGAAAGTTGTGATTCGCAAAACGCGAACAGTTGAAGTCTCATATGATAAAGTTTTTATCTCTGAGGGAAGAAGCATTTTCCCGAAGCTGCTGATAATTGTCAACTAAAATTTGAAAACGAATTCTGAGGATTTATTTCGGTTAATTCTGATCATCACTTTTTCTCTCATTTCACTTCTTCATTCTGGAATATTCCTTATGTCCAAACTTTTCTACAATCATTTATCTTGTGATTATTTCGACACCATTGTTGTTTATCTCGTTAATTTATTCTCACTGCCCCCAAATGCCCTGGTACAGCCGAGAGTGGGGAGAGTCCGCTCTACTTTTCGAAATGCTCTCACATAGCCACGCGCATATAGCCTCTACCAGGGAAGTCTTACTCACTGCCTTCTCGTAGCGGGGGTGTTGTTTACGAAAATGATCCACTTGTGATATTGTTTATATACTTTTACGTTAGACATAGAACAGAATCTTGTTCGTTATACAATAAGTTACTTGTTAACAGTAAGATTTACGTAGCATCTTACATCAAATACCGACTTGATGGGCGGTAATCTTTCTTCAAAAATACAGAAAAACCTTATATGAATTAGGTTCTTACTTATTATTGACTCTGTTGATGGCAATCTAATGTTTAGAGTAACTAATAATATGAAATATAAACTTCTTTGTGTATATTATGATTAGGAGAAATTACTTCTATCGATTCTTATCTTACTTTTGATGGGTTGAAATTGTAAGACCGGTAATGAATTGATTTACCTTAATTTCAGCTGCATAATATAACTTTTCATTCTGATCCGCCAATGCTGATGACTGACTTCGATAAGTTGGAGCATAAACAAGTTTCTGACCACGCAGCATGTCCATAGCACGGCTAAATCCAGTATAATCCATATATTGTACATATGCTATGAATGTAAGTGGACTACCAACACTTGTATTAGTTGGACTAGTCAATATATTGGAGTTTTTCGACTTCGTCAAATAAGATACTTTTGATTTGTCAGAGTCCGCTGAAGACGAATTAATTACACCGTGTTGTATAGTTGGATTTAAAATTCCGATTGTATCCGGACCAATTTTTCCGAACCCACCGATATATTCCTCTGTACAGCCAGAACCGTTACGGAAAGAATATTCAATGGGTTTGTTAACTGAAGTGTCCGTTTTTAATGTATCACATGAACTATTTAAAGTGTCATTGCTATTTATATAATCTTCCAAGCAATCAGGATTTTGTGAAGGATCTAACATTGGAATATCAATCTCCCGAATTTTTCCAAATACCTTAAAAGTAAAAGAAATAACAATAAAGATAATACTTGTTTAATGGAATATTAATAAACAACCTAAAAACAATAAGATTGGAATCATATGCTAATTACACTACCATGTATGACAAATATGTACCACTTGCGAAAATTAAGGCGATAACACTCAATAAAACTTTGCAACAATGTGGAGATTTATGCAGTAAATTATGAGCTATATGTAAATATGTCTGAAATCTGATACAAAGGCGAGGTTCGAACATGTGACTCAATGGTTGAAGGTCAAATGCTAAAGTAAGAAACTACGAAATTGAAGTATTGACTGAGATTGTACTATCACATTATATTTAAGCGAAATTCGACTTGAGTTTTATAGTCAGTGACATTTCAATGAGAAAGAATGTAAATATTATAAAAAAGGAACAAAAATTACCATAAAAAAACTTATACTTACTTCAAATGCTTCTTTTACAATCGAAGGATCAGGTTTTTCTTCGTCAACCAAAAGAGATAAATAGCTGCTGTTAGTGTCATCACTATTAACGCGAAATCGTGGCCTGTTGTGTGATCCACTCGCAAACCATCTGATAGGAAGACCAGTGAGTACAAGAGTGTCAGGCCTCTCACCAGATTTAGTCTCATCCATATTTTGAGCATCACGAAAAAACGCTTCCCAATCATGACGTCTTGGACAGTCATATGGAGCTTCACTTGCGCGAACACGAAGGTTTTGTGGAAATCCACTTAGCTTGATAAACTATAACGGATTGATGATAGATTTTAAATAAATATGCTCATGGAAAATCCTAGAAAGTGTCAACAACTTATCCATGTTAAAATGAAACCGGTAGAACTTAAGCAGTTATTTACCAAAAAAATAAAAGATAAGTGGTATTGAGTTACCCTTTGTCTAAACGAATAGCAATCAAAATAGTTATTAGTCAAGATTTAAAAACCAATGTACACTCCCATGCAGTGCTTACCAGAAGTTTTAGAATTTTTTATAGAATACCCAGGTCTTTCGGTTACCTGAATGCCAAAATATTCGCAAATTGTATGTAGTACTTGTCCGAAAAATGTGAGAATTGGATAAAAACAGCCAGTTCCTGTCTAAAAAAGTAAGCTGTCGGGACCAGTTTAAAAAACTACAGCTAAGTTGGTTCTGGAAATTGTAAACCGATGATATGAAGAAACTATGTTATGTTCCCATTATCATATAAAAGTACTAGAGGTCAACTGATTACAGTCTTTAAACTACGTAGTGGTAACTTTTGATATGACATACCCTGTCACGTGACTGGTAATAATTAAGTCTAATAGGCAGGTTTGAACTCATTAGTGAGTGACCCACGAAACTGATTCCCTCCAATAACCTCTGATATTTAATCTTATTCATTTTTTTGTTCAGAACCAATGCATAAGGATGATATTTCATTAGATAAAAACCTATTCTTCCGATTAGTGGTGCTTTGATCTCAGCTTATTAGAGGGTTGGAGTCAGTGATCTGATCTTGTAAACAGCCATCACAGCGTCAACGGTACAATCGCATATCATCTATGGTGATCCATTTTAACAATCTAAAACTCGTCCATCCGGCAAACTCCTCCATAATCCCTTCATTTTATTCGGCTCCCAGAACAGGACATTAATGAGGATACTGAGAGAAAATCCTGAACAAATAACCTGACTACCAACTTTCCTACTGAATTATCAGCAAGTGGAAATCTTTGTCTCGATGGATAGTTACAACTTCTTTAGTTATTAAAAAGTAGGTTGGGCAAACTGAGTGGACTTTACAACTAGGACTAACACAACCCTTCCACCCTTTTATCCTTTCTAAACTGAAACTGAAGACCAGTAATTAATTTATCAGATCCGAGGTGGTCACTAAAATGATTCTCTAAGTATATATATCCAAATATCGTTCAGTAAAATGTTTTTGAGTAGAGATTAAGCGACCAAATGTATTAAGGACTATTCTTCTAATTGCTTTAGCATTGGAGGTCATATGGGAAAAGATAGCAGTATGAAGAATGTTTACACTGCAACTACAGACAAAGTACTCATAGCCATATAGAAGTATCTTGATTTAAGAAAGAATTGAATTTGAACTAATTTTGGATAACCTCACTGTCACTCGTTATCATGAACGTCATTTACCGTTAAGGAAAGTACTTACATAAACTTTCTGAGTACTAATAACCACTATCGACCCAAAAAGCAAGACACTAAGTAAATGTAGTCTTACCTTATTCGAGCGTAAGATTAATCAACTCTTGGAACGAGTATTTTAATTTCTTTCATACAAACTACTGTAGCTACATTCACTGATCGTATTAACATCTAACACCTGACATCCAACAGAACTTAATACATAGAAGGATAGGTCTATTTAATGTTACACATCGATGTACAAGTTCAGGAAACAAATATACATAAATACACCTGAGATACATATGGTAACCGTAATTTGTGGTTATGAACCACGGGTAGTATTTAGAATTGATTACCGTAGCGTGGATGTAATTATTTCATACTTATTTGAGTCACTGGTTTCAATATTATTTCATAGATTTTATTTATCAACCTCATACGTTTCAACAAATTTTTACATCAACACATGCATTTAAGTGCAGAGTGTTAAAAAATCTTGTGTCGAATTTCTCGGATAGAAAGCACATAGCATCTTCGAAATGCTGCGTTCAAAAGTTTAAGAAAAACCTAGGTTCAAACTGTTCTTAACTTTTTGCATTGAACCTGAATTGAGAAAGAGTCCAAATTTAATAAATCCTTTAATCCACAAAAAGAAACTTATGTAATATAAGGTAAAAACTGAGCAATTAAGCATCATAGTTTCACATCGGTTTCTAAACGCAATACATTTTGTTTAAAATGATTATAGTTGCAGCGGGATTACATAATAATTTAGCTTCTACAGACATCATATATATATTTTACATACAACATCTAACTGGTCATCATTAAAAATTTATCGTCACAATCGATCAATATATAAGAAAAGGAAACCTGTTGAAATACTTTATGCTGAGAATTCTATGTTGTACCAAAAATATAATGTTGAATAAAGCTAATAATAATAATAATAATAATAATAATAATAATAACACTCCTGACAATTAGCACCTAGGTAACTGAAACTATGACCGATTCATTGCGATAACAGCTTTATATAGGTATAATAAGGATTGCTACTAAATAAGCTGAGCAATTTCAGTCTTCCACAAAATAAAATTATTTAAAGAATTGAATTTATTTCTACTTACACACAAATGCATAAGGCCTATGTAATCACATCTAATAGTCGATAGTGACGACAAATTTAAAAATAGAGGAAGAAACCCTGATTGGCCTTAATGTATACAAAACCGTTCTTATGAAGTATGGTTACCTGACTTTCCAAACTTGTAACCACGCGCCTGACGTCGGTTTTGTTTTCCAAGTCAACAGCGAACCTAACAAATTCCAACGTAGTGTGGACTACTTTCATAACAGTGGATGGAGCAAGAATTCCAGGACATAGTTGCCGAATTTTTTCAATGATCTCCCATGTAGTAAACGATTTTAACTGGCCAGATGTATCATGAAGAAGAGGGATCTGAACTGTAATACACACTCGAGCTATGGGCTTTAAATACAAATTAAGAGTCGGGCAAAAATCAATTAAATCAGATATCTTTGAGGGTTCAGACTTCTTTGGTACGGAAACACTCATACCTAAGTGACCTAGAAAATGAAAGTAGCGCGTTATCAGTCCACTATTAAGGATGGAAGTTCCAGCTACCGTGTTGCCCTGTGAAGATCCTAACTTGCTTTGAAGGTATAAATAGAATAAATTGATATTATTTATTTCGTGAACGATGTCTTAGAGTTTCATCTCAGAATATCATTCGTAAATGTAAGAAACAGATAGAACATAATGGTGCCAAAATATTACTACGGTAGTATCAACAGTCTTTTACTGGTTGTTTTATACAGAAGTAGCTAGGCGTCCTATATGATGTGTCTGATTTTTAGGATGAACTTCTTGATTGCGGAGAGACATGATTCTTGTTACGTTTCTATAATGAATGACCTATACGTTTACCGTCCACTTAAATATATTTTATAAAGTGTTAAATCTATCACAAATACAACAATAGATATTGGTTTAGGATACTAAAAATTCAAATTCTTGTTGTTCTATCAGGGTTCCACACATATACACGAATCCCAAAAGCTTGGGGAAATTAACCATCAATGCATCGCTGAGGGAGGTAGAAGATAATTTAGAGTGTTTTGACGCCTAATTTATGTCACATGACCTTGAGGAAGATAAGATTTCAGCTCATTTTATTTCAGTTTTTGATAGGAATGCCTATAGTTTGTTTTAGAACCCTGTATATTCTGAAAAACCTGCTCTATTTCTGTTCATCAAACTAAATAGATTTCTGAACGATCATTTTCAGGCGACATCATTGTAAACAGGTGTAAGATCATAGGTCAACAAAATAGCTTGTGCTCTGAATCACGCTAACAAAGATTACATGCACGGCTTCAGATATAATCTTCCAAGTGCACCTCCGATTATCAGTATCACATCCAACTCCTGATCATTTGATCATTGGTATAAATGACCTTAAACTAGGAGAGCATCTGGCGAGAATATTTTTTGGACTCCCAAATGACTCAAGATTTTTGCTTTACTTATAAATTGTTTAATAATGATCTTCGTGACGCTGTTACCAAACAGCATAGTGAGTACTATCCAGCTGAGCTTGGGTTAAAGGGCTAGACAAATTTGGGCGCTAGCAGTTTTTTAAGCACCTATTCTTCTGAAAGCACTCTGATCAAATGTCTGATCTTACAAGACTCGAAAGCCGTGAGAGATATGAAAATTAACCCAGTACACTTAAACTAAAATGGGGAAGCCCATCCTCTCGGAACCTACACTAATTTCACACGGTTTAAGGAAGGCTATAAGGAATAAGCTGTGTGAACTTGTTGAGTTGTTCATTTGGACTACTCCTATTGTAACAGATTTGTACCACTGTCGAAAATGAAGATATTCTGCATAAATTACGTCGGTCGAGGGGCTTTTCAAAATAGAGATGCATTATTGCAAATTCCATTGGATGATATCTCTAGTGAACCAACTACCAATAATACACGATTCGGAACTGTTCGAAAGCAAACTGCTTCCGTTTGGAGTAAACCTTTCATCGGCGATATTGCAGTAGGTTATAGAAAAAATTATCATCGAACTTGGTGGTGCTGAATCGTATCAGGATGATATCGTGGTTCATGATAAAAATATTAAGGTGCATGAAAACATCGCTTAAGGTTATTCGAATGCATTCACGGCACAAACGAGGCCATAAACCCATTGTCAGCTTGAATTTGATTCTATCAACTGGCTATGCTTTACTGTATCGTTGCGGGTTTTAAACCTGATATGAATCACGTAACTCAGCCGACTCAAGTACAGTTGCCTATGAATATCTCAGCACCCAGGTCGTGGGTGGATGGATTTTATTTTACTCCAGGTTTATTCCTAACCTACATAGTTTTTACCTCTACCCTTTGACTTGGTTTCTAATAAAAACATTTTATGGGAATGACTACACAGGGTTACAATAAGAGAATTTTGCAATTCTTAAATAGTGAGACTTTTACTGCTAGCATTTATCCAGCGTTTTATACTTGGAAGGAGCTGGAAAAATGGTGATAATATGTTTCTACTGAGATCGTAGGGCCAGGCAATTTGAGTGTCAGGTTCCACTTTAAACACACGGACCTACAGCATTCATTATAGAATGACAAGTACTATAATACCTAAGCAAAATAAGGAGGTCAATAAATTCTTGATCTATAGTGTTGTTCCGCCTACTTTTCCTCTGCTCCACTCTCATGGAAATGTCGGTTTGATTGATCTGTTAGATACACAAATGTCAGTTTGGTTTGATAATAATAACAATAATTTATTCTCAAATAAGTCTGTTAAACGAAGCATGCCACTTTACAGGCAAGATCGAATAGTTACAGAAGATACAGTCTTCACTGTTGTGTGTTACTCAGTTAGCTTGATATGTCATAAGGTACACTGATTACAGAATTATGGTAGATAACACTTCTCACATCTGAATGTATACAACATTAATAAGACTCGTATATACAGCTGGCGCGTTCTATGGAGGTTGCAGTTCGACGTGCCACTGACGGTCAAGAATAAATCCACGAAGAATTGAAAGCTTCTAGAAATCATACCTCATTTTTTTGTGGAACAGCTGTGACATTAATGATGACGCAGGACGTATTCGCCAGTTCAATATGTGTTTTCGGTAGCCATTCACAAAGGAGCTGAATAGGAAGGCAAGAAAAAAGAAAGCTAACAGGAGCAGTGCAGAAAATCTTCATGTATTTTGAAATGGAGAAATTTTGAAGGAAGAGTTAGGGTACCATGACCCATTAAAATTCACATATTCAGATACAATTAAACGAATAGCATGAAAAGTTACTATTGTAAAGTTAACGTAAAAAGTATTAAAGTTGAAAGCTAGGGTTTATAGGTTTCGAGGTGAAAAATATCACAGCTAGTTGTCAGAGTTTAGGGGATCTAGGTAAAGCCTTATGAATCGTGGGGTTAGGAGTTGGGATTATGCGTGTTACAAAGTCGTAGTTCCCAGACTAACTTGTGCACAGTTAAACCTAATACGTTTGTTGATCATATGAAAACCCTCAATTCCCTGCGATTTTATCATTGTCTTATATTTTACAAATTTCACAAAAGCTGAATGACGGTTGAAATTTGTGAGTGATTATTCTTAATGTAACCCTAAGAATCGCTTACGACAATCGATATGGAGTGCTTAAGGCGAAATTTTCTGAGAATATTGAATGGAATCTAAACTATGAAATATAAGGTGTGGGTGAGGGAACATTTATACTGAAGATATAGTGGAAAGTAGAATAAGTGTTAATAAGCCATCAACTAGATGAGTTAAGTGCTCAATTTTTACCCATTTCAGTCTTCAGTAATAAGGACAGTAGGTTGGTGAACCTGTATTAATCCTGACACATTGCTTTCCAGTAAAGGTCCAGCTCCTCATCATAAAAGCATGACTAACTACATCCATGCAGACACAATATGATGAAAGCATAATGAAGTGCATCTTAGAAGTTAAATGAAATAAAGCATACATCCATCCTATAAGACTTCAGCGACCCGGGTAACTTCAAGGTAACTTCAAGGACTGCTATTGAAGTTAAAAATCTTGGTATTGCCGGACTTTATTCAAAAGGGCTTAAGGATTTGTGCAGTAAGGATGGGAGGCCTACAGCCTGTGATATCCCCCCTCTAATATGCTTCTGTGAGTGTGTAGAATAATGGTCTTCTATGATATTGGTACTGTTCTAATAATAGACCTGATCCTAAAACTGCAGATTTGTCATAATGTAACTGCCTCGTCTATGAGATCTTACGTGGAAACCACATGGTTGTCTTTACTGACTCATGGCATCGTAACAATTGCCAATATATGATGGAGAACACATTCAGGCTGGAGATGGAACAATAGATTCAATATGAGTAAAAGATATAAAGCAACATTCAACAGGGACCACGCCTGCAAGGCCGAACCATGCCATCCGACCAACTCAAATTGAAATAAAGCAAGAACAAATATTGGTGCAGAATAGTATAAATTCATATTATTTCGAGGTTTCTCGTCAGCTGCTTACAAACCAAAAATATGATGGAATTTTTACATTGAGATTGAGTGAAAACAATTGACATAGATGAGTGTAAATAACTGGTTACAATAACAACTATATACATATATATATGCTAGAACAGGTCAGAGGTCAAAGGGACTTTATTCGGGTTGGGTGGTGTAATAATTTAATTGAATAGTCATAAGATAGGTTACGCAATAATAATTAAATAGAATTTGAAAAGTTAAGATAATTTAAGAGGATCAGGTGGTGGAAATGTGTGAATAATAATGCGGTTTAAGAATTATGTAATTAGAGGGGAGTATAAATATTTTAAAATGAATGAAAAAAGGGTTACCGGGGTAGTGATAAGTTTACTAAAGTCTCTTTTGAATGCATGAGTCCGGTTTAAGTTTTTCGATCATAATGGCTTCAGCAAAACGGAGGGTGGTCGTACTTCCTTGTCTATTGATAATTTTGAAAGCATGTGGAATGTCGATGGTGTGTCCGGTGTCAAGTAGATGTCGAGCTATTGTGCTGTTGAAAGCCTTAGTCCCTCGCAGCCTCAAGTTTTTTGGAACATGCTCAGAAATGCGGACATTCACTCTTCTCTCAGTTCTTCCAATGTATGTGCTTTGGCACGTACATATGAATTGGTAGATGCAATTGGAGCTACTAAGAAAAGAGGGCTTGTCGATTTTGGTTTGTTGAAGTGAGCAGTTCGTTTGCCATACTGTCATAAGTTTTGCTGCTGGTTAGGTCACTTTCAACGCAGAGTTTATTCTGTGATTAATTATTCCAGCGATCTCATCACCTTTGAAACGTAAGTGTAAGAAGCAGGTTTTATTTTCAACTCCATCGTACTTTGTACGAGGATTGGTTTTTCGCATATTTCTGGATAAATTTCAATGGGTATTCATTATCACTTAGAACATTAGTAATCAGATTAATTTCATCATCAAGATATTCTTTTGAACAGATTTTTTGGGAGCGGTCAAAAAGGGTTCGTACAATACTCATTGGGCAGAAA